GACTGAAGCCCGTAAGCAGCTTTTACCTCTGGGCAGTTCGTGGGCCTGGGGAGTGACCTTGGACTGGGTCGTGAGGGGGCCTGTTAGCAAAAGCATTGCTGCCCTTATTGCAGAGGAAGGGAAATACGGAATGAGGGATGCGATATGCTGCAGGGAGAGAAGGGCCCACAGTTAAGGTGGCTCTACACCATGTTGGGGAAATGGATTTTGTTCCAGCTTATGCTATATCTTTCCTGACTGAGGCTGGGAATTTCACTTGAACCGTGCTTTGCGTTGGTACCCCTGAATGTCTGAGCTTAATTCTGTGGGAACGTGATCTGAGATCCAGACTGGGAAAGTACCTGGACGTGAAATCAGTAAGTGCTTTAAAAGTATACAGTGCTAACCGGCCTCATGCCGGATCCCTGAGGTTAACTTCCACTGCTGTGCTCCACGGCCCCACGTGTGAAACAGGGTGGATAATAAATACCCCACCTCTCGCAGAGCTGTTGTGAAGAACCATGAAGAACAGCAGAGGGTACCCTAGAGGAAACTAAAAATTCAGACTCTTTAAAAAAGACAAATAAAGTGGGGGAACACACATGCAGGAGGTCTGAAAATGCTCTAGCAGCGCATGGTTGTTCCTGAAGTGCTGTCGGGTATGAGCACTGAATGAGACAAGGTCCATGAACTTGCAGCTGAAATCTGTAGCATTATGCATGAGCACAAAGGGACCAAATGAAGATTGAAGGTGTAATTTTATTTTGGGCACTTCCTAATTCTGCATGCATGACTGCACTCAAGCAGATATCTGTTTGAGCAGTTTATTGTATGCTAATGACTTTAAAATTTTCAGTAATATCCAGGCTTCACTTCCCCTGTGGAAGGATTTTCAATTAAAATTGCCGATGCTTACCTGTCGTTACGGCACCAGTGAGATTTTCTATCCAGCCACTCAGCTACTCAACCTCCAGATGTGGGAATTTATATCCTGCAGGCACCTCCCCTTCCACCAGCCGGCATAAGCAGGCCCTGGCCGGGAGCAGGAGCCTCCCAGCGCCAGGTGTGCCCCAGCAGGACGTGATCTCCACACAGCATGGCTCCTTGGTGACTGCCACCAACAGCCCTGTGACAGGCACCTCGGCCACAAGTTTCTCCATGCTCCATGGGTGATTGAGAGTCTATGGGGTATGTTGTGATTGACTAGTGGGAGTACATACCAGTCCCAAAGTGCCCAGTAACCTGCTTACATGTGGGATTCTGCACCTGCAAATAGGACTTTGAGCGTGAGCCCCGTAAATGCTCTAACCACAGGCAGCACCGGGCACCCTGCCTGGTGTGGTGAGATTTGGCCCAGACCCCACTTTGGAGGCTTCACACCAGGCTAGGATGAGCAGTTTCCTATGAGCAGTTTCCTATAAGCAATTTTCTGAAAGTCGGTTCCTTGGGTGTCTTCGTGGCTTTGCATGAGGCACCCAGATGCCTGACAGTCTGTGGGGCAGTTTGGTGCCATGGGGTATTACCCTGCAGCCTGAGGCACAGCGATGCTGCCGACCTACTGCCACTGCTGCTGGACAGCTTTCCACCATACTGCCATCAGGCCTCACCCAAAGCGTCCTGAGGTTCTTTAAACCTCACATTTAAACCAAGCTTTCAGGACCTCAGAGCAGTCTTGCAGGTCTTTCCCTTAGCTTTTTCTACCATGCACTTAAAAAAATACAGAGGTTCCCCCTGAGCACAGTATGCCAGCAGTGAAAGCACCAGGGTCATTTGCAGATGTAACAGCCAAAAAGAGCTGTCACAGGGAAGGGAAGAGGGAAGGCATGAGCCTTTGGTTGGGCCAGGACTGTGAGCACTCTTTGTGAGGCAAAATGAAGAGAGAAAGGAGAGAAAGGGAAGGAGGGAGGGAGGGAGGGAGGGAGGAAGGAAGGAAGGAAGGAAGGAAGGAAGGAAGGAAGGAAGGAAGGAAGGAAGTGAATGGAGGGAAAAGTATATTTGCTGTGTACTAAAGCAGACACACTGGATGGCAGAAGAAATGCATTAGTTATGTGTTCCCAGGGGCTTGGAATGCAGAGTCTCTGCTAACAGTTTCCATATTTTGCAGGATTATTTAAAAAAAGGAAAGGACAGCAAGCTTCTGGCTACATGAAGCAAAATAAACTACATATGAGGACTCAATTACCTGGAGGCTTAATATCATTTACTGCGCGTATAGCTTACACATTTGGAGATAGTAACCATGTAAGAGATTTCACGATGCAACAGAAATGACTTAGGCAGTTCTGCCTGGGCTACCTGGAACAGACCTGGTGTCAGAAGGTCTTGTTAGAAATCCACATTTACCAAAAAAAGCAGTGTTGCCTCTAGCAGTAACCTCTGTTACCCACCATGCAAGGACCTGGTGACTGCCATGGTCACCAGTCACTCAGCAAGTGAGGAAATTCAGCCTCGGAGCGCTGCTGCTCAGCTCACAGGAGCAGCTTCATGGTGCTCGTTGGAGCGTAGGACAAGTGCCCAGCTGCTGTTGAGGGCTGCCCCGCTCAGTATGGCTGCCATCTGCAGTTACTAGGATGTGAAATACAGTTCTGAGGTCAGCTGCTGGCTCAGCACTAAGCAGCTTTTGGCAATTATATATGAGCATAAGCCTGGTGCACCTATATCACTGAGAAGTCTAAACAGTCACCATCCGCTCTCCTTTCCACCATGAGGGTACTCTCACACTCACACAGAGCACAGGTTTTGGACATTTCCTGCAATCTTCCTGTCCCCTTGGCAACTAGGTTTTATTTTTATTTATTTTTATTTATCTTTCTATTTATTCCCAGGGTTGAAAGCTCTGCCACATGCTTCTCTCTGCTCTGAGTAACCCTGAACACAAAAGAGCCAGGAATAACTCCTTTGCTGCACTGTCAGTGCTTGATACAGTCACTTCTTTCATCTATGTGGGAGAAGCAATCAAAGGCAACAGAAAGCAGCGAGCTGGGTAGCTGGCGGCAGAGGGAGAAGCGATATCTGAAAGACTACCACAACTCAGGTAACCCGAATCCAGCAGTAAACATGCATTTCAGACCCTCTGTGCCACGGGTCTCTGCCCAGAGCCATCGATGGTCCCCACCGTCCCCCGGCGGAGCTGGCTCTCCCTGCCCACGTGCTGCCAGATGCCACTGTCCAGTGGTCCCACACTGCTTCGGCTGCAAGAAATGACACTAAGCGTTGGCTCAACCTTTTCAGTGCCTGGATCCAGAAGAAGACTTCAGTGGTCCGCAATAGGCAAGACATCAGCACCTTATCCCACTCTTATCCTGAAAGGTTGTAGACACTCGTGTCTATTAAGTGTTCAAAATCAGCTATTGCACATGCCCAGAGCTGTCACTATCACAGAAAGCATCTCCCATGCAAGCTCATTTGTGCTTTTTTTATCCTTCTGGATGTTGATAGGTAGTAGAAAACCTGGTGTCTGTAACCTCCACAGCATGAAAGAGGCTGGGGTCACTCTTTCACTTTTTAATGGGACTATCCTGCTCACCAGACTATAGACCAGGTTGAATCTGTTTCGCTTTGCAGCAAGCAGCGACTGAGGCTTGGGTCCAGGCACTCTCCTCAGAGTCGCTTCTGGCCCTTTTGCATGGAAGAGTCACCAGAGCAAACGCAGGACCAGCTGCAGGACTTTTCTCTCCGGTGAGCCCCTAAAGCACCAAGCTGGACAGCCACGTATCCCATCCTAATGGATTTGTAAGCTTTGCTGAACATCAGCCTAAGTGCGGTGTAATGGGGAAAACTCCTCTCCAGCCTGGACATGGAAGTGAGAGGTTAAAGTCCTCTGTGAAAGCTTACTAGAGAAAAGCAGGGTAGGAACAGCATTGCTGTGCCTCATTTGAAAAATTAGGCACTTTTCTGCTGTGAAGAACAGCTTCAACACTTCTCCCTGGGAGGCTCAAAGGTGTAAACTGCAATCATGCCTTGGCCCCGACCTCCAGGCTGCGGGATACCTGTGTGTCCGAGCTGTAGAGGGTTTCAGCACACCCCAGGCACTGCCTACATCCCTTTTTAGCATCCCAGCTGCAGATCTCCTAACCTGGTGCTGCAGACACAGGGATGAAAAAAGTGGACTCCTACTGCCCCCTCCCTCCAGTGCCTGCACTGCATCTGGTTAGTCATACACTGGAGCAAAGGGAACAATTGATAGGGATAAAAAAAGTAATTTTTTTTCATCCATATCAGATAGGGATAACAATTAAGTTAGCTATAAGCAAAACAGTAAGTTCTTCTTACAGATCAGTTCCCAAGACTTGCAAGAGTCTGTACAACATGAAACTACTGCCATTACCTTGAATGAGCACCGAATGTAGTTCATACTTGCTGGACAACTCCAGTTCCCATTTACTCATTCCACAAGTTATGTCTGAGTGAAAGCTTACAGGAAAAAGGCTTTACAGGAGGAGTGATGCAGAACAGAGTAGCTACTTTTGCAGGGCAAGAGCTGTGCTGAGGTTCTGACTGGGTTTTAATTTGAGAAGTGTCACTCTGCAGCGAAAATTTCCTCTAGTGTGTTCACAGAGGACTTCATCCTTTCACTTCTGCCTCCCAGAAGACTATGGCAGGCCCAGCGGGAGTCTTCTCTTTCCCATTCTACTGCACTTAGGCTGACATTCAGCAGAGAACAGCAAGCATGGTGGCTTTTTTAAAGGGGTTTAAGTGCTGGAATCAGGCCACAACTAGGGCATATTATTTTTCTTCTGCATTCCCTTTAAATATCTCTCCTAACCACCACTCCATCTGAAGCCTTCATTTAATTTCTGTCACAGAGACAAGCCTTTAGGAACTAGTCTTTCCTGGATAATGAAGCCAATGCATCAAGTCAGCTGTTAATTTTGCAAAGGTGCTGTCTCAGATAAGGGATTGCATGAACTATTTCACAGCTACTTAACTATGTTTTATAGATCTGAGTTTTAAGGTATTTTGGGCAATCTTAGGTCTTAGGAACTGGGTTAGCTAGTATATGGAAGCAAGATTAATTTTTATTAGCTTGAAGTATCATATTTTATTCAAGTGATAAGAAATATCATAATACATTATGCATCTGCCAGTTATAGTCCATTTTAGTTGGTTCCAAAACCTAAGCAGTAAATGAGTAAGACAGTTTATCTAGTTAAACTGAAAAAAGAGCATTCCACACAACCAGTACTGGAGATGTCAACCATATATTAATTCCAGCATTATGTTGTTATGGTTTTCCAGAAAGTTGTGAAGTTACCAAATTAGAAGACATCAAGAGCCATTTTCCAAATATTTATTGAAGTAGCAACAGGTTATTAATATTGTGCTGGAAAAAGCAGTTTTACTGAATTCAGACAGTTAACTATTTACAGCACAACATACTGCTATTTGTAAACTAGACTCCATTGTAAACGCTAATCCTTCAGGGAGAGTCAGTTTGCAAGACCTAATACTATTTCCTATCATAGTAATCTTGCGCTCATGGAAAAACTGCAAAGGCACTTGAAAGCTGTTACTTCTTTTAAGACATGGACTTTTTAAATCTTGCTGGTAAGAATTTCTCCTGTATTAATAAGTATGTGTCTTCACTTCAGCTTTACTCCAAGTCATCATGATGCTGGGAAGTTTCATTAATAACCTGTTGAAAAACAGACGCATGAAGTGTTAGTAGTAAGGTTATTAATTTTTTAGAATTAGAAATGGAACATCATCCAGTACCACAGAAATGTGAACAAATAGGTATCAACCCTGACTTATGAGAAGTTCTAGTTGGCTAATGGTAAGCTTTATTGACTTAGTACGAAAACAGTATCTTGTCCCAAACAAGTACCTGTTTACTGCCATATCATTTTCTCAGGTGATGTGAGAAATCTTTTTGAACTTGCTAACTCAGCTGAACTTAAACACTCACTACACAGGTAACTGTCACCCACTTAAGGTTTTACTGTCAGAAGACTTTTGTGATCATTTCCACAGAAGCCTGTTTGCTACATCTGCATGTTTATCTATGCAGCTTGGACTGCCAGATGCTGTTCTACCTAATACTTACTACCATACACAGGCTGCACTGATCAGTAGACAAACTTCAAGTATTTTAAGGTAACCAGCTGTGATAGAAATAAAAATCAAAATTACCACCAACCTGTCCATCTCTAGTTTCAACGGTCTTAATTAGAAGTGTCCTCTTTGAGTGAGTGTCAACCATTGGCTGAGATTCAATGTTGGTTTCTGCAGAAGAAAAATGTATGATTACCAGTAGTCTAGATGAAGTGCTGCCTCAAAGAAATGAGGTGCAACAGATTTTAGTGTCTACTTTGAGAATCCTGATTTAGTATATGAAGTCTCCTGCTCGGAGAAGATTAGCTTATCACTCAATCTTCTCCCTGTTCCCCTTAAAGCACCTTCAGCAGGCATCTAAACCAATCACTCTGTACTGATATTTAAAAATATCTGTGCTCAGGAAGAAAGTAGCTCCTCCCATCCAAGGTTAAGTAATTGCAAATACTGTAGTTGTATCCAAGAAAAACATTCACATGCAACTGCATTTATACAAGTTCAAATACTAGAGTAAAAGGAACTATCCAGAACCCTTTTGCTAACGATAGAACAGCTGTTTAAACTGAAGTAACAGAAAGAGCTTACCTCTCAGGTTCAGAGAAGCAAAGGTTGGAATAGGCATGTTAATCCTAAAGGAAAAAAAGAAATGGATAAAGTCAGACAAGGGTGTAGAGAGTCTTCTAGTAATTGCTGTTCAGAAAAGTGTCTGCATGTGATTTTTACCTGCTCTCTTCACCCTCCAGCAGTTTTCTGTAGGTGGCAATCTCAATATCAAGAGCCATCTTTACATTCAGCAGGTCCTGGTACTCGCGGAGATGGCGAGCCATTTCTTCCTTCATGTTCTGAATCTCATCCTGCAGACGGCCAATAGTGTCTTGGTAGTTAGCAGCTTCAACAGCAAAATTCTCCTCCATTTCACGCATCTGACGCTCCAGGGATTCATTCTGGAAGAGAATAATGGAGTCAAGCACTGCTGTAGTTCAGCCACTCTTCCCCACCCTCAAAACCCTTCAAATTTTTAAAAAAGGGAAGTTGAGTTACATTAGCATCCTTTCTGAAAGTGCCCAGACACATCCCAAATTTGTCATCTCCTTATCTTCCCCTTGCAAAGCCAAGGTGCATTATTCTGCTACTCGATCTGAGGTATGCCACGTATTTATTCTAACCAGGTGGCAAAACAACCCCTTACAAGTCCGACACATGCAGTACAAGTCGGCATGCAGGCACTCCTCAGTGAGGGGATTTGCAGGTGTACTATACACTGTTAAATCCATTTCAAGCCAGCCTTTCAGGCAGTCAGATTCTAGCAACAGCAAGATTTGCACCTCCTTTCCACTGCTCCTCCAGCTTTTTTTTATAGCTTCAGCTGTACCTGACAGACAAGCCATAAACAATTCCAGTAAGTGTTACATAAACAGTGAATATTGTAGCAAGGGAATGAACTCACTGTTTATAGCTTAAGAAACACTAGTTCAGTATATCAATCTAACCAGTGCACTGTAGTGCATGCAGGCAAATTTTGCCCACAGCATCCTTTTCAAACAGTACTAATATGCTGCTGTATTGCACGGGGCATCAGCTGCATTCACATCTATATCTAAACAATTAAAATGCAGTGCAGTGCTTAAAGCTGCAAAGGGAAGAATTTCCCAACAACTGCTGTCTTCTACTTACGCTTCCCTTAAGGGCATCAACTTCGCAGGTGAGAGACTGAATCTGTCTGCGGTATTCATTAGCTTCTTGTTTGGCCTGGCGCAGGGCATCGTTGTTCCTATTAGCAGCTTCGGAGAGATCTGCAAACTGTGGAAATCCCCAGTTTGGTTAGCGTAACACTTCAACAGAAACAGTACAACAGACATTTTTTGGGCACGACATTTGAGGGCAACTGAAGCCATTACAACTCCTAACACCTGAAACATTTAAATATTAGCACTAATCTTAAAATGCCTTTCTATTTCCAATTGTTAAATTGGAATTCATAGTTAAACCTTTCACATTTGTCTCCCCACCCTGTATGTTTCATATCTTTTAATCATTTTTTTCACCCATTCATTCACTCCTTTCTCCAGTATTTCATCCAACATCTGCCTCCAGGTACAAGCACAGGAAAGAGTCCAAGCATGAACCCATTACTTTGATGCTGTTCTTACAGCGCAAAGTAATGTTTTCAGCTGTACTCTTCTAAGACTAGGAGTTTAAAGACGACCCTGTGCCATGGCTGTGTTTGTGACCAGTAGAGAGACAAAAGGAACACCAAGTGCTACAGCAAAGCTGTTAAGTACAGTTAGAGTGCTTGATGCATCTGAACAGATTTGACTTACTTTGGACTTGTACCACTCTTCAGCTTCCTGAAGATTCTTAGCAGCAACGCTTTCATACTGTTGGCGAACGTCACGCAGGGCAGCAGTAAGATCAGGCTTAGAAACATCCATATCAATCTGGATGTGCTGTTCCTGGAGTTGGGCCTGCAGTTCTCGGATTTCCTTAGAGAGAAGCAGGCACTCAGTGTTATTACACGACAACATACAGAACATACGCAGGTGGGGACTCTGGGCCAGAACTAGTGAAGAGCTTACTTGCTCACTAGACTGTCAGCATCTAATCACAGACCTCATAATTCAGCTTACCTCATCATGAAGCTTCTTCAAGAAGACGATCTCCTCTTGCAGGGACTCAACTTTGCGCTCAAGATCAAGACGTGCCAGAGAAGCATTGTCAACATCCTGACCAGAGAGAGAAGACTGATTAGCGATCTTACAAAACTGTGATGTAGAGAAATCTTTTATGGCCAGTTCAGCAGCATATAGACTGATGCTACATCTGAGCTTCTCGCAAGACCATATGAAATAAAGACCTGTGAAACACCTCTTTTTGCCACCACCTACTCTAGCCTCAGAGACCACTATATGCACCTTTATTTTGATTTTGGGAACTATACAGCATATGTAGATTACTTCATCTTTGCCAACATATTGCTGGGCACGATCAAGAGCACACAGATCATGGTGGGTGTAAATCCTGCTTGAAGATGAAGCAGGTACTTGGGTCAGAAGCCAGCCATAAGCTCTTTCAGCTTGACTACACTGAAAAAGTTAGTCTTGCAATTTGCAGACTTCCATTTTCTCCAGTGGGGCTTAAAAGTGCAACCCATGTGCCTACACACCTATCAGTGGACTTAATTTCTTGTTTATTTCTTATGGACTCCTTTGTGATCAAACCACAGACCCCTCTGGGTCCACAGACCACAATTTGAAAGCATACTTGTAAAGCCAGTGAGGTGCATATGGGAACTGCAAGCATTTACTTCTCCAAGTAGTTCAACGGATCTCCCTTGAGAAAAAGAAGGTATGAGCATAAACACAAATTGAGTTAGTCGTCATTACCTACACCCTCACATTAGCTGGCAAAGACTCCACCTTTTGCTGGACAGAGATAGTCTTAATCAAGAGAAAAAATTCATTTCAGGCACAACAGAAGATATGCCATGAATGTTACATGGGAGCAGCCTGAATTAGTTAAAAAACGTAACTTAAGACTAAACACTGAGTGGTAACTTCTTACCTTTTAAATGTCCAATTAAGACAATTCATTTGCAAAGGGGATGATTGTTCCTTTCGTACTGGTTACATACACAGCTGCATGCTTATGTTCACATGGTATTAACGTATCAGGTTTTCACAGCTAACTCTAAAGTTATTTTGGATTTGCCCAAAGCATAAGCATTCCTAATCAGCAGTTCTCACTATTATGGCACCTTTGAAATGGGGAGTGTTTTCTTTAAACTCCTAGAAAGCTGTACCTTGGATCACTCCTACTCTGGGGTAAGGTTCTTGCTCCAGAAGAATTCTTCTGGTTTCTTTATCCGGCAAAAGATAGCACCCCTTTGATGTGTTATTCCATAACTTCCCTATCAACTCCAGTTTTACACCCACAGTTCATATCAGCTTTATTTTTCAATTCAAAGAATTTCTTAATTCATTTGTTTGCCTCCCAAAAAACCTTGAAGATCATTCTGGAAGGAAATTACATGGCTATGCCCTAACATGTTTACACAATTAGACAGACATCTAAAGAGTTTGCAGTGGATTTTACAGAAATCTGCATACTGAAGACTATGAACTTTTTTCAGAACAACTGAACAGCTACAGGACTTTTAGCAGCTGATAATAAATTGAAAACATCTTAAATCAAAGACACTTTGAATATATGGTATGTACTTTACTGTATACATTATCATTAAGTTAGGGAGTGAAGAATCAGTGTATCTGTATTTCCTAGATGTATGGAGAGCCACAGAAATGAATAAGCTACTTGTAGCCTGAGCAAATTAGGTGTAAGAAATATACATGCAATTGGACTACACGTTTTAACACCAGACACATAGTTTGCAGGGTTGAACATCCATATTTACTTCAGACAAACCTCATATTAGCCCGGAGCTGACCTGTTCATCTTGTCATAGGCTCGGGATCTATTCCTTGCTGCCAGAGTAGCTGACAAAGCCGCAGTAAATAACTTTCTCGCTAATTGTGATGCTTGTTTTGTCCCGAAGGAAAGAACTCACTGAACCTTTAGATTTCTTTTGTGTAGTACACCCCTCAGCTTATGAGCAAAAATCACATCTTTGTTCAGGAGAAGCATTAAATTAAAATTCAGTACTTCTGAGTTCAACAGTCTCTAAAGCAGGCAGCTTTTGGAAATACAAAGTTTAAGTTCAAATATTTGTTCACTTTCTTTTAAAATAAAGTATACAACTGCTCCATCAAGTAAAAAGTAAATTTGATGCTACATCAGAACAGTAAAGTATCTGAAGCTTTCCGAATCCATGTATATGACTTTCCAGTGTAAGAATATAACTGTTTAATAAAAAGCTGTGCATTTTTTTTTACAATGGAAAGCACAACAGGATGTTTCAACTTCAGTGTTCTATGAATTTAATTTCACTTGCAGGAGAACCATGCTTATACTGAAACAAACTTAGTTTTCAAAACCTGCATGTTAAGCCTACCCTTTCATGGTAAAGAAAAACTAGGTATTACTGTGTTCAAATCAAACACACTAGCATGCACCAGTTATGCCATGAGTGGATTTAGTGTAGTGTTTCCACAGACAATGATTTGCAATTCTTATGCATAAGCTACACCTTAAGAGGTTAAATGGATCAGTTCTGACTGTATTGCACACACAGATGTGCTAGAGGCTCAGCTCCTGAATGACCCCTTTCCACAGCGCAGGGAAGAGCTGGATAATGAATGTGGGATATGCACAAAGCCAAGTTCACTGAAAAGCCTCAAGCCTTCACAAAGTTTAATTGGTTTGAAATAGAGGTAGACATGCCTTGAAGTGCACCAATTAAGTATGAAAGATCATTTAAGCCAGACTTAAGTCAAAGGATCCTTCAACTGAATTCAGCAATGAGTCAGAATAGATTAGGTTCTCTAAAACTTAACTTAAATGCTTCTGCACAGAACTTCACACTACGTTAAACTGGCTTAGCACTCAGAAGACCAGAAGTTGAGGTTAAGGCAGCATCTTGAACTGTTCTGTTTCCAACTTCTGCCCCCAGAACGCCAGCAGAAACTCTGAATTCCCAGACTCTGAATGGGAGTAGGTGTCTCGGTTTCCACATTATCTCATGAAGACACCTGCTCTCCTTCAGAGACTATAAATGCACTGTAGTCAAAAGCCTCGCCCAGGGAAACTCTGACAATCAAGTGATGATTTCCTGAATGGTGACATCTACTAACGTCTATGAAGAGCTTTGGGATGAAGTCAGCCTGTGCCCAGCTGTCTGGGGCAGTAACTTCCAGCCGGGAGGAATGCTAGCAATGCCATTTCACACCAGCAGTTTTAGGGAAGAGACCTTGTTTTGAGAAGGCACATTCCTAAATACCTCCTAGCCCAAACAAGGTTTAATCCAAGTTGAAAGCTGGTTTTGCACAAGTGAAAACCTGAGCTTAACACTTTTTGAACACTGTTTGCACAGTTGGTTCTGGCTGTCAGGTAGGTTTTAGTTTATTTGGATAACATTGTAGCATCCCACAGAGACTAAACTCTAATGCAGCTCGTTTCCTACGTTAACATCTTCGTTTACAGAGGATTAAATTCTGTGTTCTTAATGGACATCCAAAGAGGCAGACTTGACTGCTGCAACCTCACCCCAAGGAACAAATGGTCTACATCTTGTCAGCAGGCAGCACCCATATGAAAAATTCTGAACTGCTGTCCCATAATGCACTGACCAAAGTGGTTCATTAAAAAGGAGGCTCTGTTTTGTCCAAAAACCGGACCATACACGATAGACACATTTCACTAGAAATATGCCCACACCATTACACATTTAGCAAGAATGCAGCCCACTGCGCCCTCCCCTCCGACACAAAGGGATCTATTATTTCAATCTGCTGCCACCACACTTGCCATAATGCCTGTATCTGCATTCCACGGTGAATCCCATAGAAACCATTAATACCCTTCAGCCAAGCGAGCAGATGGCCCCCTTTCACTTTTATTGGATCGGAAAGCGATTCCACATCGGAGCGCTTTTTGTAAGACAGGCTAGACTTGGATAAAGCAAGACAATAGTTTCCCTCCCCTCCCCTCAGACCGCGGCATCCCCCTAAAGAAAACAAGGAGGGCTTGTGTGAGAACTGATGGAATTCCTTTGTGCGAGGAAAGCCAACTCCCGCAGTCCCATCCTCCCGCCCCGGGCACCGCCGCCCCCCAGGCTCTCCTCTCCCACGGCTCCCTCCCTCCAGCCCCCACAAACCTGTCTGAAGGACTGCAGGGTGTTCTCGGCCTCCTCCCTCTGAAGCATCTCCTCTTGCAACCTGGAAGGGGGGAGACAGCGGTGAGGAGGGAGCGGGGGTCC